ACAAAAACAACATCATCTCACTTACATGCAGAGTCTAACAAAATCAATCTCATGAAGTGAGGAGAATAGTAGTTACTAGAGGTTGGGAATAATAGGGCTTGGGGGAAAGGACCTGGTCAGTGAGTACAAAGTTACTGGTAGATAGGAGGAATAAATTCTGATGTTCTCTTGAACAGTAGAGGGACTATAGATAATAACAATATATTATATATTTCAAAATAGCAAGAAACAAGGTTTTTGAATGCTCTCACCATAAGGAAATCTATTGGAGGTGAGGATTATTCTATTGTTTTATTGTGATTATTATACAGTATATCCTGAAACATTACCACATAAATATATACAATTACTATTTGTTAACTAAAAATGGAAATCTTATTATTCTCAAGTAAATGGATGGAACTGGAGAACATCATTCTGAGTGAGGTTAGCCAGGCTCAGAAGACCAAAAATCATATGTTCTCCCTCATGTGCAGACTTTAAATCAAGGGCAAATGCAACAATGTTGTTGGACTTGGGTCACATGACAAGGGGAGAGAACATACGAGAGGTATGGGAATAGGTAGGAAACCCAAAACATGAAAGTGTTTGATGTCCCCACTGCAGAGTAGCTAATACAGGAACCTTAAGGCAACAGAGTGTAATATGGGAAGGGGATCAGGAACCAGTGTAAAGGTCAGTTAGAGATAAATGAACTTGGGTTGTAACACATTTGTACATGGAAGCAATGCTAGGAATCTCTTTGTATAGCTATCCTTATCTCAAGTCGCAAAAACACTTTGTCTCTCTTATTATTGCTTATGTCTTCTCTTCAACAAAAACAGAGATAAGGGCAGAATAGTTTCTGCCTGGAAGTGAAGGGGGGTGGGAGGGAGAGGGAGAGGGTGGGGGGCATGAGAGAGAAATGATCCAAACAATGTATGCACATATGAATAAATGAATAAAATTTTTTAAAAAATGGAAATAAAGCAAGCAAACAAACAAACATGGCCAGTCTTATGTTGTAAAAGCCTGGGTTGCTCCACATAGCAATTTGTTCCTTATTTATCATTGTATGTTGATGCTTAACTGGCTCCTAGCACTTGGTTTTATCTTCAATCTCTGGCTTCTCTATTTTTCATTGGAAAGTCTCATACTCTCATGTATTGTTAATGCTTTCCTTGAGCATGGTTTTGCCAACTTTTCTGGGTCAGTTCAATCTATAAGTATACTGGTTAATATATTTCAAAATTGGTGAGAGAGCTCCAAGGAAATTCTATATTTATTGCACAATATGAGAAAAATGAAAAGGAAATGGTGCATGGGAAAGGCATGCTTGCTTTTGTGTTCATTTTCTTAGAAATCATACTTTGCTGCCTGTGGCCTTGGCAATCCAGAGCTAACACACAAAGGCACCCTGGGAAGCCAAGGCTTTTCCTTGGCTTAGGCCAATGGAGGCATTTCATCATTTGTTTTCTTGGCTTCCTCCTGGTTCAGTATGAACATAATCTTAGACTAAAAATCACTTGAACAATTCCAATAGACAATAGACATTGACTTGGGTTTTCCAAGTGACATAAAACATATGTGATAATTAGGAGTATCCATCTTCCCCATTGATCTTGCATGATATTAGTGCAAGTTTTACTATGAAAAAGAATAATTAATTAGTCTTTTATTATACATTTTTACCTTAAGAGGTGTATCTGTCTCTTAAAGGTAGCGAATAAAAGAAGAAAAGATTACAAGGATGAGTAGCATCAAACACAAGTAGTTGAATACTTTTATGAACATCAATCACTAAATAGGCAAAGCCTTGGGACATGGTTTTGTAAATGTTCACAAATCAAGTACTTTGAGGCCTTCCTCTGCCTCTACTGTGGTACTTCTGCCAAGACCATGCTTCTCTCTGGGTTTTAGTTTTTTTTCTTGACACCATCTTCTGCATTTATGTCAAAAAATGTATTCACTTCCCTAAAATTTCATGTTTCTCATATTTTAGTAAGTTTTTCTTTCCATTGTCTAAGATGCCCAGTGTCTCCTCTGTAGTTGAGATCATCCATATGTCTATCCTAGAATACTGTAATAATATTATATGATCACCTTACTTATTAAATGGTTTGGCTATTTTCATAACAACCAAAATATTTTATAATATTTCTTTACTTAAAATCTCTATTATTTCCTATTTCCTTGGACTCAGTACTTTCCATGTATCTTCAAAGTTGATAATTGCTCTTTTAAAAATTTGAGCATTTCTTCAGCCAAAATATTTTATTACCATTTAATCAGGTCTTAAAATTCTATTCATTTTTTAAGATCCAATTAAAGTCATTGTTCCATAATGACAAGTTCCCCAATCCACAGTCAGCACTCAGTCCTATTTCTTAAATAGGCAACTGAAGTCTGCACATTGAAGACAAAATACTACATTGAGAGGTAAGTGCTATAACGAAATCTGACGAGAGTTGTACATGAGCTCTTGAACTTAAATAATTAAATAGAGTCACATGTAGTCACACAGATTTGTGTTTAAATGATATATTGGCCATTAACAAACAATATGGCAAGTTGCTTAACCTTTATATGTCTTGGTTTTCTCTATAAAACTAGGGAGAGAAAAAACAGAATAGAGCATTGACTGCTCAGATTAGCATGAGATTGTTGTCTGTGTGAATCTCTGTGTATCTCTGCTGTACCCCCAGAATTGTTCCATAACTGAGATCTTAATAGACTTAATAAACCTAATTATGCCCACAGTAACGTGGGGAGCAGGGCAGAGTGCTACTGTTTTCTAGTTATTATTTAAAGTTATTGGAAAATCATATTTCCTGGACAAATTTCCTTTTCAGTTGTGAATCACTCTCTTGTTACAATTTTCTCCAGAATTTCTGGGGATAGATAATAGACAGAAATCATTTTCTAATGATGTGGACTTCTTGGAATTAAAACACACATTTGAATTTATTTCAAACCACAAAATTAGCATTTCATTAAACACAGTATATATACAGGCACAAAAGCAGACAGACCATCATCTACTCAGCTTCACCTTCACTTCTGCTCCTCTACTTTGGAGAAACGGTAAGAATTTCAGATATAAATTCAATATATCTCCTCCTCATTATTTATTTCAAATTAGATAGCTATAGAAAGAACATATTTGCTTCAAATAGTCTTTGAAATAAGCCTATTTAAAAAGGTATTAGTTTTAAAAAGATGGAAATGCCTAGAAAGATTTGGAAAATGTATATTAACTCTACAGGCTTCATGATTCTAAGAAAATATAGTAACAAAAACAAGGTTAGTTAACCGTATTAAGAGGACATTTTGATGACTGATTTCTTAAGTAAGTCTTTCAGTTTAGTATAACATGACAGCCATAAAACAAATGCATTTGAATTATATTATGGGGAGATGAAAATTTATTGGGAAAACTTCATCCAACAGGTAGCGCTTAGAGGTAGCATGTTAAATCAATAAATGGGGGAGGGGTGGTTTGGGGACATGCTCTACTTTGAATGTTTATACACAATGTTTTAGAAGAAGAGTGTATCTATCAAACTTGTCCAGAACCTTCACCTTCCAGTTAATTATCTAGCTTAAAACATTTCAAAAGAATATTAAAAAGAGACATGAAAATCGGGAATTAAGTTAAAATGAAAAGTTTTCCACATTTAAGAAAATTCTATATTGCTCAGAGATGTCTTAAAAACAAAAACAAAGGAAACATGATTTGAAAGAAAGGTAATTTACAGCATATCACTCAATAATGGAGTTCTGGATTAGAACTGGTATAGCAAGTGCTAAGGATAAACCATGGAAGCTATTATAGGATTCTCTCTACATGTGATAATCTGTAAGAGAGAACTGCATTGTTTTTTAGAACCCTGAAAAATTATTTGGAAACTTATGGAGATTTTAGGTAAAGTAAAGTTAATAAGTAATTATGTGACATCCCTCAGAAAAATCTAAAAAAAATTGTGTTCACTACTAGAGTTATTTTCACCCTCCAAATATTGGAAAGTGAATTTTGTGGATAAATTAGAAACTTTTTCCACTAACAGTTTTTAGTTTAGAAATTTAGTTTAAAAATGTTAGCATGAAGATTGTCAAATGATATTATTCTTAAAGATAAATTATATGAAATGTAGGAAAAGCAAGAAAGAAGGGCATTTAATATATTTTGGTCAGAAATGTTGGTGTTTATTTCACAAGAAGAGGTAGCCCAAGGGTAGAGAGTTGATAATAGTATCTGACCTTTGTTTAAATCATAAGGAATCAGTAAGCACATTCTAATAGAAGGAAAAGGAGAATGATAGTGTGTGGTCTCCAAATTCATGGAAAAGACATGTTATTAGAGCAGTAAGGATGTAGAGGACTGCATAATGGGAACAAATGAGGAGAAACAAACTTATCTGTAGTCCCAATAGACATCTGGACAACTAAAAAAACTGTTAAAGTGAAAATCTCAGTCTTACTGGAACTTAGAAGACAGGATTAAACTAAATATTCATGGCAACAATTTAGTTTAGCAAAGAGAAATAAAAATTGATTTCCCTGTATACATTGTCTTGATCAGTTCCCCCTACCACAAATAAAGCTTCATCTGGGCTCATAGTCTCTGACAATTAATGTGCTCAATAAATATTTTTTAGCAAATGAATGAATAAATCTTTCTGTAAATATTTACAACTTTTCATCCCTTTAAAAAAAAAAGCTAGTAGTATTGTGATTGAGATTTTTTAAAAAAAAAGTAAAGGAGAGCTGTGGGCTAAAAAAAATCTGAATGGCTGGCAATGAACTTTGATCTGGATATTTAGAAGTAGGGAGCCAGAGGAGATTTTGACTTTAGTTATATTATGAAACTTCTATTCCCATTTTTTTCTAAAATTCATTTTTATTACATTTTATTTTTTATTTCTTTTAAAGAAAAAGTAATCCTTCCTAAATAACAAAATGCATCTGATGGACTAATCTATTACTATTCCTTCATCTCCCATTCCCAGGACTTGATCAACATGAAGGTACTTATCCTTGCCTGCCTTGTGGCACTTGCTCTTGCAAAGGAGGTATGTACATAAGAAAATTCCTAAATAATTACGGTATAGAGGACAATCTCCCTACATATACAGAATAATATCACCAATATTTTTCTAGTGTACAAATAATGAGGAATTTCAGCAGGTTTTTTTCTTTTTAGCTTCTATGAAAACCATTCACCCATTGTCTCAACACTCCACTATAGAATCTCTAGCATGATGCTGTTGATATTGACACCAGTGTGCCACCAGTCTCTAAAGGAAAAACAAACAAACCAGTTAGTAATAAAACAAAAAGAAAGGGACAGGAACCAGCAAATAAATATACTTTTAAAGCAATAGAATTGCATGTATGTTTACCTTAGATAAATGTATCTTATTCTGGTGATAAAACAGATGTGTCTTGGAGCAGCAGGCCAAATTCTACTTTTGTCTGTCCAAAGATATCCAGGGAAGGGCACATAGGCAATAATCATGATCATACTATGAATATACTGATAATAAAAAGTATCTAATGGAAATTAAGTAACTCCTTTTTAGTTGCTAATCAAAACTATTCTTAATTCAGAAAATATAGAAATATATCAATTAAAATTAATAAGTGCAACAGGTAATAAAATTACTTTCCAAGTTTCTATAAGGCATACAAGAGCAGCTTTTAGTTTTCAAATTTATGAAAGAGAGAGCTCTGTATAAAGGGCATAAAAATAACAGGAAACACTTTTAATAATGAATTACACATAGATACTAAAATAGTGATTTTTTTTCTTTATAGAAGGAAGATGTCAGTGTCTCCACTGAGGTAAGGTCTCTTTCTTTTTTTTTGAAAAAATTTTCCAACCACAAAATAACAACATTCTCTGGCAATCTAGAAGACTAACTAGGTGTTAATTTTTTTCAGACTTTAGAGAGCCTTTCAAACAGTGAGGTAAGACTACAATCTTTCTGAGTCAACTTCCCAAATTTTGAATAGTAAAATATGTTGCTGTCTTTCTATCTATTATGTTAAATCATGGCAGTTAAGCTAATGCAACTAAGTTCTGAGTATGTTCTGATGCACATTTCCTTTACATATATTTGACAGAATAAATGTTTAGGGGATTTAGGATTCTCAAATTTGTCAAGTTGGCTCATACTTGAAATTATTTTACTTTGCCTTCCCATTTTTAATGAATCACACAGTTCTATTTTCTTTCTTGAGTTCTCCCTAATAAGAACTTGTTCACTTTTAATAATTTCTGGGTGTCTATGAATCCAACATTGGCTAGGAGCTCTGGTATAAACTGAAGATTGGAATGGGAATGATAGCAACCAGCTTGCAATGTAGTGAGTAGGCAGACATCAAAGGACACCCTTTGTTATTACAATTTTCATTTTAGTAAATAAGAACCAGTGAAATTTAGTGTAGTCCTAAATCTACCAGGCAGAATCACTTAGATATTTACCCTAGTACCACTTTTTGGGTGTGCTACTATCTGTTTAGCAAATGTTGTTAATAATATACTTTGCTACTTCACAAAGGTTATAAGATCTGTGGGGAAAATAGTTATTTATTATAGTTTATTTGAAGATTAACACATTAACAGGTAAACTAAGAATGAATGATCACTTCAATGCATCAACTGTTAAATTATACTGTTTTTCAAGGATTTTTTTTAAAAGAATGGGGTATGGTTATAGACATCATTCATGATCAGAGATGGGAGCATGGCTATAGAGAGAAATTAGCATCTTTTAGATCCCTCTTTTTGTACAATCTTCACTAATTTTCTGTTCTTACTTTACTACATTTATCTTTCTATTACAAAACAGGTTATACAGAATAGTTTAAATGCAGGTTTCAGAGATTATCCTAAGTTATTAAGTGAAGGGGACCACATTAACCTATTACATGCCTTCATTTTCTAATATACATTGAAAATTAAGAATTATTAATAAAAACTAAATCTAATTTTATTATTTACTTTTCTGAAGGAATCTATTACCCAAATCAGCAAGGTAAATTTTTCATATTCAAATATACACATTCCCAAATTTTCCCATGTTTGATTTTTATGGATGACAGCACTTCTAATGCATGACTTGTTCTTAGCAGAAACTTGAGAAGGCTAAACATGTGCAACAGCAGCAAAGAGAGGTAACTTGTTAGTGATAGATATACTTCTAAAGTTCTTATGAAGTACAATGACTTACACAAATACCTATATGCTCAGTCTAAGATGATAACAAAACAAATGCCGTGTATCCCACAAACCAGCATAAGAAATTAAACATTGGTAAGTCAGTATATTTTTGAAAACATAATTATGTTTTAAACAATCATAGCCCACTTCTATAATAGAGAATGAATATCTCATGCTGTTACTAACAGCATTTCTGTTTTTAATTAATGGACATTAGCACAAACACATCTACATTGGGAGTTATGTTCTTCTTATTTTCAAGATGAATATGACCATAAACGTGAATAGCAGCAATAGGGTTCAAATCCAAAACTGATTGCTTATCAGCTGTATAACCTCAGCCTCAAGTTTCTGTATTTCATTCTTTTATTTCTGTAAACTGAGAATACTCTTAAGAATATCCACCTGATAGTGTTAATGAACTGGAATTTGGTGTATATTCAATGAGTTTACATTCACATTTTGTGGGTTTTATATTAGTATTTATTGAATGAATGCTCTTAAGAGTATTTCCATTATAAAAAGGAGAGAAGTGAGTCACAAAACAATTGAGTAAACAATTGTGTGCCAATGTTAAACAGTTATTAAGTGCCAGAGCTTACTTAAAAAAAAAATCAAAGATTTTTTTGAATAACATGTAATTCTACAATTAAACAACATTTATGATCTTACTTATCTAACTGTAATATTTCAACTTGCTTATTGAAATGGATTATGAAATATTTTGTACATCAAATTAAAATTAAAAAATTGGTATCTCTTGAAAGACCTAATAAAACTATCTTTTATCAAGGAAAGTGATGCTACAAGTTGGCCAATGTCAAGTGACTCCCTGAATTTAATTACAAATTAAAACTGATTTTTCATTAAAATGAAAAAGAACCTTGAGGTGTCCCTTTAAGTCTTTTTAAAAATTATTTCCATTATTAAACGAAAGAAATTTAATCTATTATCAACACACTTAGGTCGAAAATTCAGTCCTCTTTGAAGGTCAAGTGTGTAGTTACAGGCATCCAGGTGATTCAGGAAAATGTGAAAATATTCTTAAAAATTCCTGAACATTGATTTTTCTTTGGACTGTAGATTCACCAATGTGGGTTAAGGAGAAATCCCTAATTTTTCTTCACATAGCCCACAATAATTTCTTAAGCAACATTAGTGAAAACTTCTTTCACCTTTTATCAATAATAGTTGTCCAAAAGGCAGAAGATTAATTCATCACAATGACAATTATTGCTGAGTCATAGACTGTAATATTCTTTCTCTTTTTCAGGATGAACTCCAGGACAAAATCCACCCTTTTATCCAGTCACAGCCTTTAGCCTATTCTGACATTAAGCCCATTCCTTATACTGTGCCACAAAGCATCCTGCCCATTCCTCAGCCTGCTATGGTGCCTGTTCTTCTGCCTGCTTTTGAGCCTGAAATAGTCAAAGCTAAAGACACCATCCTTCTTAAGAACAAAGAGATGCCCTTCCTTAAGTCTTCAACAGGGCTCCCTGTCTTTAACCCTCAAATCCCCGATTTCACTAATCTCAAATATCAACAACTTCTTCAGCTCCTGCTCCAGCCCTCAGTGCACCAGACCCCTAAGTCTTTTCTTCAGACTCCCTTGCTTCAACTTCAGTTCCAACAACATCTTCTTCATCCCCAAGCTCTGTCTCTTCTCCAGCAAGTGGTTCCCTTCCTTGTCCCAGAAGAGAGAGCCATGCTTGTCCCACAACTTCTACAACACCATGATCTGCTTGACCTCACCCACCAGCCCCCTGTGACTCAACCACTTGACTCAGTTTACAGCAGAGTTGTGGTAAGTCCACATTTATTTACTTTGCACTTTCACTCATGTTGCATATATGATGGGAGAATAAGTGGGCTCTAGAATGCAAGAATGAAGGTATAATTTAGATCAGTGATTCTTAACAGTAACTTATAATAAAAGTACTAGGATATCTTCTCCTTCAACCCAAATTCCAATGCCAATGCTGAGGCTTACCCACAGAGTCTGCGCTAATTGTTCTAATTTTCTATGAAGAAACTGATTGTTGGGAACAAATGGTTTCAGAGATTCTGACTTAATTGGTCTGTTGAGAACTCTGATTTAAAGAGGATTAAGGCTTTTTAAAGGCAGAATTACATTTGATTATTTCATTGGGTTTGGTATAAAGAAGACATTTTTTTCTTGAGGTCTAAAGTTTTCCTTGTGCACATCCCCACATGCCCTAGTTCACATCTATTTTTGCTATCTGTACATGAAGGCAAAAGATTGGAGATGATTATTTTATTACTTAGAACATTCACAAAGCTAGTATTCTTGCCAAGAGGTGAATTGTATATTTATTTATCTTGTATTGGTTTACTTTTAAGGTCTAAGAGGATTTCAAAGTTATTGCTTCCTCCTTATTTTTTGGTAAGTTTTAGGAGTTTGGAGATTAGACTGATTAGTTTTATAGTTTATATCTTTTTATACTTCATTATTCTAAACAAATCCAAGATAGTAACAAATTCTACCCATATATTAATTATTTATTAATATGCACCAACCTTAAGTTATATAGTTTGTGTTGCAAGGATCTTTTAATATATTTATGTGCTATTGATAGGTTTGGCTGGCTGCTTTCAACAGTTGTTTATATACTCATCATTTTTAGAAAAAATAGAAGACAGGTTTTATTTTACTTTTTTCTGAGCTTTTATTAAAGACCAACTTGCTCTATGATTTTTAGCTTAGGATTCATAAGCTTTGTATTTAATTCAGTTAAACTTGCCTTTCAATTCCTGAACCAAAATAAAATCAATGAGTCCAGATATGAGGGCTCAAAAGAAGAGAGAAAATAGTTTTGAGATTTTAAGATAGAAAGCCTTTTGTGATCATGATAGACTAGAAATTTCATGATGGCAATCTCAAGTATTCTGATGTTTGACCTGATAGGAACTTTGTATTTCTACAAGGAAAGGCACAACAAAGAGCATTTGCAACACAATTTCTTTTTGGTAGTCACAGCAAAATTACAAGTGGGGAGAAATGAATAGTTATATCATATAACAAAAGTAATTCTATGTTTGTTTTTTATTCCACAGAATTGACTGAGACTGGAAATGTGCATCTTTTCTATCTTTGCATCATATTACTGAAAATCATGTTTTTGAATGAATCTTCATGAAAAAAACTTGTACCTTATTCTAATATTTATTTTATATATTATATAACATTCATTCAATTTGAAATTTGATTTATGAATTCTTTACTCTTTCCAAATTGTAATTCAGCTAGAACATATAAGTTCAATATTGAGTTGGAAATACTTACCAAAAATGTGTATAAAATAGTGTTTGGAATTGAACCTATTATTATTCTTTGAGAACCTATTTCCTCTCCAGTCATTTCAATAAATTAATCATTTAGGCATATTTAAGTTGTCATGTCTTCATTATAATTTTCAAACCAGGATAGCCTCTTTAATGTTAATCTTAGGTTATTATTGATATTAAAAATAATAATGGAATAAGCTGGGCATGGTGGCATACATCTGTAATCCCAACACTTGGCAGGCTGAGGTGGGAGAATTATGAGTTTGAGGCTAGCCTGGGATACATACTAAGATTCTGTCAACAGAAAAACAAAAAATCATGGAAGAATGTCTTGAAATTTAATAAAATATTTTGAGCTTATGATTAAATAAATGTCAAAAGGAGAGGAAGAAATACTGTGATATATGCCTAGTACATTCTAGAAAATCATGGTTTACACTTATTTTCCCTGTGCAATTATTGGACCCATGCCCTTTATGGTGAAAAGGATCCAGTATTGGATAATACATTTTGTGGTCACAGTAGGAAGAGTTTCACATGTGAAATCTGTTTCACAACCTTGTCACATGACAGGTAAGTGTTACTGTGGATACAGAATCTCTCAGAGCTTCAATTACCATATCTATAAAATAGTCTGGGAAAGGAATTTTATGGAAGCTTTGAAAATACCCTAGTAACATAATCATCACACTCCATAGAACATGCTAGGTATTCCCTGAGACTGCACCGCTGACAAAGCTTACACTAGCGCATCAAAGTGTTCTGTCACAATCAGAACGAACTGGGTGACAAGGTGTTAGCCAGCAATGCCCAGGAAAGCAATATTCATGTGAAACCCTGATAACCAGTGTCCCTAGCTGTGGAGTATTGTTTTGTTGTGATGAATTACCTTTCTATACAAACTCTTTCACATACACAGTTCATCTCATTCACCTGAATTTTGCAATGATTTGTCTCTAACAATTATTTAATCTTCCCTATATCTCCAATGTTTTCCTTGTGTCATTTTAACATAAACGTGGTGCAAAGTCTAATTTATGATATAATATCTCACAACTTTGAAGGAAAAAATTATCTTTACTATAACTCCAAATTCCTCCCAGTTGTTTAGGTTCTGTTTATACAGTCTTGTGTTATTATCTAATTAACTCATTCCAATCAAGTTTTTTGTACCCCATGGAAACCGGTTTTTACAGTTACCACAGATTTCATCTCATTCATTTGTGTTTATTTTATCCTGTATCAGTGGTATTTGCTAGAGTTGGTCATCCTTGTTTGAAATATTATACTTCTCTTCATTTGGAATATTATATCTTACAAAGCCTTGGTTTCCTTCTTAATTCACTAGCCACTTCTCAGTTTTACTTCTGTGTCATTTTCTACTTTTTTAAACCTCTAAGGTTTGAAGTATCCCCGGTGTTAGCCTTACTCTGGCTGATCTTGTTCAGTTCACCAGCTTTATATACATCCTTATGCTGAGGAGATTTTATATATATATATATATATATATATATATATATGTATATATATCTCCTCAGAAATATATCCATATATATCTAAGATTGGATATATATCTATATCTATATCTATCCAATCTTACTTTGGAAACTACAAACTCATGTACTCAACTGCTTTGTTGACCTCCACATATGTGTCTAATTAATATCTGTCTTTTACCTAGCCAGACCAAGCACAACTCTTCATCTGAATTTAAGTACCCGACTTGTTCATATGTCAATCTTTGCCATATCAATAATAGCCTACAGTCAACTCTGTGATACAAACTGAAAACTTAAGAGTCACTGTTGTTTAGTCTCTTCTCTTCACCCCATACATAGGATTGTACAATGTCCAATTTCTGTCCTTCTAGAACTTCAAAATATAACTTTATCTGAAATTGGGGTCATTGCATATACAATAAGTTAAGATGAGAACATACTGAAGTGTATTGAGTCTTATTTCTATGCAACTTTTATCTTAATAAGAAAAGGAGAAGAAATTCAGGGACAAAAAATAGGACAATGTCTGTGACAATGGAGGCAAAGATTGAAGTGATTTGTTCTTAAGCCAAGGAATGGCAAATGTTGGCAACACCAGAAGTTAAGAGAAATGCATAGGACACATATTCTCCTACATCCTTTAGAGAAAGCATGAATTTTTTGATGCCTTCATTTGGACTCCTAGACTTGAGAACTGTGAAATAATAAATTTCTCCTGTTGTAAGCCACCCTGTATATGGTACTTCATTATATCCTTCACATTATTTGTCAGTTGTCTGTCATGTGTCTCAACCTAGAAATTATGTAATGTATCTCTCCATTACATAATTTTGCATAATGTTGCATGCTCAGTACCTGCAACATTAATAATTGTACTGACTTATCATCATTATCTCTTCCTAACCTATTTCTTACTTCCCCTTCTGTAGATCTTTCTTACACCACAGTCAAGTGACCTTTTAAAATAAGCATAGATTTCCTCAAATCAGTTACCTACAAGATTTTTTCCAACACTGGCCTGCATCATTGGTATTTTATCCTGCACTCAACACTCACTTACTTAGCCTCATGACATGGATGAGTCTCTTGAAAGTACTTGATCACAAAACTTTATTTTTTCTCTAAGGGCATGACTATAGAGTGGTAGAGAGATTAAGAGCATGGGCTATGTGGTAATACTTGCTAGGTTTAAATATGAGCTCCAACATACTTAGATATGCCCTAGGTTATATCACTTTGTCTTTTACTACCTCAGTTACTTCACTTTTAAAATGGAATTAATAATGTTTGGTGTTTAAGGTTGTGATAATTAAAAAAATCAGTGTATATAAAACAAATAAAATTCTTGCCTGAAAGAAAATTGCTATGTAATTATTAACTAGTAGCTACAAGCTACCAGAACCTAGAAAAGAAGAAATAAACAACGTGCATAATACTATGGGGGGTTGGTACCACTGGTAGGTGAGATATGGGGAAAGGGTGTAAGAGGATGAATATAGCGCAAATACTGTATACACATGCATTTAAATGGAAAAATTAGACCTATCGAAACTATTCCAGGAATGGGGGGATGGAGGGATAAAGGAGAATGATGCAGGGAGTGAATTCAAGTATGATATTTTGATATATCATAAGAACTTTTGTAAATGCTGCAATGTACCCCAGCACAATTAAAAATGTGTTGAGCACCAGTCACCAGCCAAGTGACAGATGCAGATCATGGAATCATGATAGTTGTGTCAGGAAAAGAGGCACATGGACACACTTCTGTTACACACTAAAGCTACCTCCTCCTCAAAAAAAAAAGGAAAATAACTATTACCTGCCAGTCCAGAACTAACTAAAAAAAAAAACACCCCCCCCAATGGCTCCAGCCCGAATTTTTAATTAAAATG